ACAAAAATAACATTTTCATTTCATTTATTCATTTTTATTCTAATGCATATTTTCACTGGTGGTAACCGTCGTCACCGCTAACAGACGAGCTCGTCACTAGCTGTCAGTTATCTGTTTGACATCTGAACCTGTCGCCGTGTTCAGGTAAAGAGGATCCTGTACGAGGAAGAGGAGGGGAGCTCAGACTCCTCTCATCCTGGCTCCGCCTCCTCGGAGGATGAAGACATATTTGAAGAAACCGCACAGGTAACACATGCACACACACATGTCGGGTATTCATATCTTGTGGGGACATCTAATTGGACATCCTTACCCTAACCATCAAAAATGAATGCCTAACCCTAAACCTAACGATAACCCAACTGTAACCATGACACTAAAATCACATCTTGAGTCTTAAAAAATGCCTTCAAACTCGTGGGGACACTTTTGTCCTCACAGGTGACTGTTGGTCCCCACAAAGATGTGTAAACAGGTACACTCACACACACACACAGCTTCTGATTGGCAGCGTTACTGTAAAGAATCGTGAAACACTCAAATGTGATGAGAGGCCACTCAGAGGGGGAATTAAAGCAGCGGCAAAAACAAAAGATTTCCTTGGATTAGTTGCGCTGCTGCTCTTTTCATCCATTATTAATTGTTTTCTCTTCAGTCCTCAGAGGCTTTTCTAAACTTTTGACGCTCCTCGTGATATTTGTGTCTTATCTGGCAGGTCAGCCCCCCTCGCGGCCGGGATAAGCGTCACCCGTGGCGAGCTCCAGTCCCTTCACTCAGCGTGCAGCCGCTGGGCAGCGCCGACTGGGCCTGGCTGGTCAAGCGGCTCTACAAGCTGTGCGTGGATCTGTGCAACAGCTACATTCAGATGCACCGCGACCTGGAGAGCATGCTGGAGGAGACTGCTCTGCTGAGGGGAAGTGCAGGAGGCGACCATGTGTTCTTCCTGCCTCTCTTCCAGTCCGAGACTTCGACCCCGACCTCAGCAGGCGGGCTTTCAGCGAGGGAGACGCCCTCGGAGGAAGGCGGGTACAGGTGTCAGACGACAGACGTGAGCTCAGCGTCACCGGGGGACACACCGACGCCAAGTCCAGGATTCAGGTCGGAGATCGCGCATATTAATGTGTGCTTTGTGAAGGCTGTTTAGTCACCCGTCATGTAAA